TGTCTGGTGGGAGTTTTTTTTTTTTTTTTTTTTTTCTGTAAACGTGAGCATCACAGAATCCTGAGACTTACCACAGGCGATGGTCCAGTAGACAAGAGAGTCTGGAGTCTGGTACAGGATTCGGTATGGTGCAACACGGGCGCTGGAGTCCAATACGACATCAAGGGTACCCACTAGGAGGCCTGAAGGGGAGAAGTAGGAAACAGGTCAGGATTTCCATGCCAGAATCACATCATCAGTGTGAGCTCGGCTCTCCAGCTGGATCTCCTGACAGCCACACCTCCCACTGCAGGGCACCTTGACAAAGTGTTCATCACACAGGATGTTGGCCCCTGTTACTTATTTCAGTGATCTCCAAGAGGAGCTGAAGCTGAAAAACTGAAGGCTTTACAACCACATAAAGCTCATGTCCCAGTAGAGTCCCTGTAGAGCATATGGTGCTCTTCACAGATGCTGTTAATAATAGGAAAATCCATAAATACACCCACACTGGCGTCTTTTCTCTAACCATCTTTATGCCTGATACGTGCTATGCTTCCCTTTGGTTTTTGAAAGATACCCCTGACTGAGTAACTGGACAAAGCTATGAGAACCAGGCCTAAGTATCTGATATGATGTCGCGATGTTTTGCCTGTATTTTAATCTGCCAAACTTTTCTATTGCATTGAAAAACTTAGTACAGCACAAACTACCAACTTCATTCGGGGCTACAAGAGCCCCCAGGTCTTGTAGGAAAGACAGAAAGTCACACGGTCAGAAGGTCACTAGTCACTATTTCACATGCAGTAGTTCTTGGCCATTTGTGGCACCCTCACTATAGCTAGAGGTCATGGGAGTCGGCTCAGAACTCTGAAATGATCCATCAGTAAGGCTGAGGGCCAGGTCATGCATTACTGGTTGCACAAAGCTAACTTCTGGGGTGTATATCCTCAATGATCTACTGACACGGTGTAGATGACTTGTCTTTTTGGGCTTCCATCACACAAAAAATGACGTGGAGACTTAGTATTAATTTTGAAAGCTTGGCTTTAGCTTAGACTTGTTTAACTCTAACTAGCTCTTGTAACTTAAACAAACCAATATTTTAAAATCTATGTTCTCTTATGTGGCTCGGTTACTTTTACCCTGTACTGCCCATCCTGTCTGTCTGGTGACTCTGCCTTTCTTTTTCCCAGAGCTCGCTCTGTCCAGAAGTCCCTCCTATAGCTCCTGTCTAGCTATTAGCTTTTTATTAAACCAATCACAGTGGTATATCTTATAATCAAATATCTCTCAACAACACAAAGTCAACTTGGACCTCAGGGACAAAGTCTAGAGAAGTGTGTCCATGAAATAAGGGGGCTTAGCCATCTATTGGCACAAAGTGACATGTCTTCAAGATGCTCCTTAAGAAGAAGCTGGGAGGTAGGTGTCTGTAAGGAATCACTGTCCTGGTCACCTGGTTTGAGAACCGTCAGTCTTGGGCAGCACACTCTTTTCTTGGCCCAGGATAGCACTTCTCAGATTTCTATGCCACCTGTCAGGTGTGGGGACAGCTGCTTTAAAGGACGTGCTCCTTGTTGTTCTTTAAGTTTAAAAATTAGAAAGCCTCGAGATGGAACTGGCACGATGGAACACGAACATAGAGAGTACATTAACCATCCCATGGTTGGGTCGACAGAAGGATCCCCGTGTCTCCTGTGGAGACAGGAGAGACCATGGGAAGAGCCTCCTGGGTTTCACAGCATCAGTGTTGTTCTTTTGTTTAAGTTTAAAAATCAGAAGACTCAAAACCTTGTTCTCTACTCTGCTAACATCTTGCCAGGTCTGAGAGGTGCCAAAGAGTTCCATACAGCTTGGACTGCGATGGGGCAACTAGCTACCCCAGGACGTGGCAGCACCCCAGTTTTCTCAGTTCCCCCAAAGATGGTCAATGCCCCCCAGGGTCAGCAGGAAGCAGTCTGATAACTTGACTTCCTTATTCCCTAACCTGCCACGCCTAACTCCCCATCTTTTTAATAATAATAAGAGGTGAGATTGTTGGAACTGGTATGCTGACCCTGCCCCCTGACAATGGGTGGGACATTCGGCATTCAGGCAGATACTTGGGCAGCTCAAAGGGCCCTGTGTTGTGGGGCCACGTCATGTCTACATCACTTGTTATGGCTGCTTAAGGACTCAGTGCGCATGTGTGAGCTTCCCCCTTTAAGTGAGCACCTCCACGTGGTCGTTTCTTCTCTTCTTCCTCTTCCTCTCACACTCTCCTACCTCCCTCTTCCTCTTTGCTCTCCGCTCTTCATTCTTACCCTCTCTCTGTCTCTCCCTCTCCTGCCCTGTAATAAACTGGTTAGTGTACTCTCTATGGTTAGTGTTCCATCGCTCTGGTTCCATCTCACACTCTTTCTAATTTTTAAACTTAAACAAAAGACCAATACTCCTTACAACCACTTTTTATCCAGTGTCCCCTTTATCCACTCTGGGCCAGCATTACATACCAGACATCTCCTACACTATTCTGAAATAACAAGAATGGGTGGATGGAGACCACATCCACAAATTCTGTCATGTTTCATAAATCAGATGATTTACTTGACTGAACAAATCAGAAACATTCTTGCTGTCATTTGGGCAAGTGTCCTCCATGGATCTACTAAAGGCTAGCAATATGCCCAGCCAGTCTATTTTCTGAGAATGGGTAATTAGTCAAGAGCAGAGGTTGTAGGGTTTGGATGAATGTCACCCAAGGTCTGTATGTAAAAAGCTTGACACTCAGGGTAACACCCTCAGAAGGTTCCAGAACCTTTAGAAGATGGAACCTGGTGGGAGGTCCCTAGGCCATTGGGATCTTTAGAGGACTGTGGCCCCCTTGTCCCTTTCCTCCCTTCCGCTCTGCTCCCTGACTGTGAGGTAGCAGTTTTCTCTGTGGTGTGTTCTTGGAACTGTCAGTTTATCCATCTGCCCCAAAAAGGAATGGGGTTGGTCTGATGGACAAGGAGCTAAATAAGGCTTTTGTTTTATAAGTTAAATTACCTCAGGTATTTCATCACAGTAATTCAAGTTGACTCAAGCAATTCCCACCATTTAAATATCTCTAATTTGCCCAAAGTTACATAGGACCCAATATGCAGTAGGGCTTGTACTCAGAGGGGGCAATTAAGGTCTCAGAACCTTAGGGCATGACATGTTCTTTAGTTGTTAATTTTCTATTGTGTGTGGAAAGGTGGCATTCTGACAAGGTCTCCAGATGCATTTCCCACTGGCCTTATGTCTGCCTGTCATGTTGTGCAGTTGTGGGTGTATATGTGGCAGAATTTTAAAATTGTTTCCTCAGTTATGGAAAGGAGGCAATTAAATCACTAGCTAGTTTCTGAGGACTGGGGCAGTAGGTAGAAGTAACAGGCTGTTTAGAGCAAGCAAAACCTTCCCAAAGTTCAATGGGAACCTCACTAGGACATTCCAAGACTATTTGCAGTCTACTTTTCCCCTAAGATTTATTTATTTATTATGTATACAGTGTTCTGCCTGCATGAGACTTGCCAGATCTCATTATAGATAGTTGTGAGCCACCATGTGGTTGCTGAAAGAGCAACCTGAAAGAGCAGCCAGTGTTCGTCACCTCCCTGACATCTCTCCAGTCCCTGCAGCCTACCTTTATGTAAGGGTGAAGGTTTACTGTGAATGGCACGGGTGGACTTGATGTCGGGAGAGGAGACTAAGGTCTGGTATGGTGTGCTTCAACAGTGAGCAGCCTCCTGTAAAGGTTCAAGCTTAGGGCCATCCACAGTAGGCCTTCCATGAAGTTCTGTTGAGGCAGCACTTATGTGTTTGGCAGAAAACACCACCACTTGGCCCTCCTGATGTGATGCTTTCCCACAGTGTCATGGGTTTTGTTTCTGACCATACCAAGCAGCACCTTGGCACACACAATCCTCCACAGATCACCTCAATTAACCCTGGAAGACTGAGTGCTAGAAAGAGCTATGGACTAGTCAGCTCATGCTGAAAAGCTTAGTGCCAGACCTGAATGGGTTCTAGCCAGTTCGGTGGAGCTGGGCAAGCCATTTAGCTTCACATGGCTCCGATTTCCTCAGTTGTAAAGTGACACTGTAGCACTTGTCTTCCTGAACTAGAATTATTAATCAAGAAGCCTAAGTGAGGTAGACCACAGGGAAGTCCTATGCCCATCCTTGGTCACTGTCCAGGGGCAAAACATCCACTTAGACTCCTTGCAAAGCACACTGATCATCAGCTGATCTGAGCATATCAGAGAATAGCAACAACAGCAATCACAATTCTAGAATTTCTAAAGTGGAAATTAGTTTTCTGTGAGCTAGTAAGTTAGGTCTTTTTTTAAAAGTCTAGATGAATTATTCCAGTGCTGTCCAAGCTTGATTGACACAAGTCAAGACTAAAAGATGGATGATCTGGTCTAGAGAGAAGAGCAAAAAAGGCAGGGAGTGGGAAAAGAAGAAGGCAGATGAGGGAGAAGGGGGGTAAGCAACAATCAGGGTTTTCTTAGAAGGCTTCTTACAGAGCTCTGGAGTTGCTGTCACAACACTGCACTGTCATCATCTCCCACACAAAGCACTGTTTGAACAGCTGCCCCAGCCAGCTATTTCTGGTGTTAAACAATCTTTGATCGCCTGAGATAACGAAACCAAATTATGGCCCTCAAAATAACTATGGTCTGATCTTCCTTATACTTCAGCTTGGGAGCATCTTACTAAGCAGAGATCTGTTTTCAAGGAGACTCAGAAAACACTGGGAAAGCAATGTGCCCAAGCTTTTCCCTCAGTTGAGGTGACTAGAAGGTGTGCAGTACATGGTCACCTTCCATATCTGGAGTCCTGGATGGGACTAGTGCATGGTGGTTGGTCTATAGTGCATGGAAGATACCCCCATGGGGGGAGCAGGCAGGGATGTGTCAAGAGAGTGTGCGTGTCATAGGAGGGTGCTCACGACATCCATCGATCTGTTTGTGAAAGATCTCAGGCAACCTCACACAAAGCTGGGAAGGATCTGATGCTCACCCAATACCCCATTCATTCTTCTGAGATAAGGCTGTGACAGTGGGAAGGGGAGAGGGCTCAGCCTTGGCTCATGTCCTGGACATGTATTTTCTTCATATGCCTATTTCCAGGCACAGAAAGAAAAATAACACCAACCCTAGAGAGTAGTTGAGGAGCCATAAAATGTATTAAGA